TCAGGCATAATCACAGATAACACAACTGACCACTATCCTACCTTTCTCGTAACCAACCTAAATAAATTGCCTCAAGACACAGCTAAAATCACCTACCAACTACATAATGAATCATCTATTAATAACTTTATTACAGAAATGAGTAACATCGACTGGCAAAACCGAGCTAGCAATCTACCCAGATACTGGTGAATGTGTTAATAACTTTTTAGAAAAGACTCAATACCTCTATAACGTGCAATGTCCTAAAAAAAACAAAAAAAAAAAATACTAAGCAGATCACATGTAAGAGACTTAACAGACCCTGGCTAAGAAACAGCATCCTCAAATCCATTAATAAAAACCACCTATGTGAAAAGCAGTAGAGACTGGGGGTAATACCTAGGGACCAGACTAAACGTTACTCATCAATACTAACCAACCTGATAAGTAGGTAAAAAAAAACTGTATTATAAAAACAGATTACATAGCGTGAAAGGTGGTAGGAAAAAGACCTGGAAAGCCTTATCTGAAATTCTAGGAACTAAAAAGATACCCATTAACAGAATAATCAACTTAACGAAACCAGATGAACCTCTCCTCCATCCAACTGATACTGCCAACAAATTTAATGTCTTCTTCTCGACCATAGGAAACAATCTAGCGAGCAGAATCCCAAGCTCAAATACTCAACCAACAGACTACCTCACTGGCAACTACACAAATATTCTATTTTTATCACCAACTAACCCAACTGAAATCTCCCTCATCATCAAAACACTTGAGAACAAGGCAGGGGACCTAAATAACTTACCACCTTTTATGTATAAAAAGCTTCTCATGTACTATCACCAATTATTGCAACTCTCTTCAACAAATCCGTTGAATCCTCCACCTTCCCATCAATTCTCAAAATAGCAAGGGTCACCCAGATCCAGAAAGGAGGTGATCCAACTGACCTGAACAACCACAGCCTATATCTAACTTAGCCTTTCTTTCTAAAATCTTTGAAAAATTAATTCGTAAACAAGTCTATTCCTACCTAGTTTCCCTCAACATACTCAACCCCAGTCAGTTTGGATTCAGGCCGAAAAAAATCACGAATGATGCTATAATACGCATGCTAGAACTAATACGTACAGCACTCGAAAACAAAGAACTCCCCCTGGGAATCTTCATTGATCCACGAAAAGTTTTTGATACAGCTGATCATGACTTATTGCACCTAAAGTTAACTTATTATGTAATAAGAGGGCACTCTCTCACCTACCTAAGTTCATACCTTAGCAACAGAAACCAGTATATATGCACAAATGGAGCTAACTCTGCCACACAACCAGTCACTGTTGGTGTCCCACAAGGTAATGTCCTTGGCCCATTTCTCTTTCTTATTTACATCAATGATCTACCGAACTCATCTAAACTCCTCAAACCCATATTATTTACAGATGACACTACCTACGTCTTCTCTCACCCAAATCCACTCATACTAACACTGTAAATGCTGAGTTACAGAAAATATCTACCTGGATGACGACCAACAAGCTTACTCTCAATATAGACAAAACCTGCTTCATGCAATTTGGAAAAAGGGCTTCAAATGTACGGCTTAACATAATGATAAATGGATCACCCATTTCTAGACTCACGGAGGGTAAATTTCAAGGACTCCACTTTGACAGCAGTCTCAAATTCCAGACATACATACAGCAGATTTCTAAGTCTCTAAGACAGTAGGCATTCTGTCAAAGATATGGTACTATGTATCACAATCAGTTCTCCTTGCTCTGCACCACTCACTCATTTACCCCTATCTCACCTATGGAGTGTATACATGGCGCTCAACTACAGTAAATCACCTCAGACACTTAACCTAACAAAAAAACATTAGTCCGATTGATAACAAATTGCAACTCGAGACCCTTCAAGGGAGGTTCCTTGACGCTGGTGAGGGGCTCTTGACCTAGGGAATTGGATCTGTGCTCCAGTTCCCTGAATTGAGCCTGAATACCTCCCATCCCCCCCTCATGCGCTGTATAATCCTACGGGTTTAGCGCTCCCCCTTGATTATAATAATAATAATCCAACGCAAGACAGCATACACCGCCACTATTCAAGAGTCTTAACTTATTCAATATACAAAACACCCACACTTTTATTGTGCCTACTACATACATAGGACACTGCACTATAATATAAACCCTCCTCTTAAACTCCTCCTTGACAGCTGCAACAGAACACAACCATAATACAAGACACAGATTACTCTTTGATACCATTCGTGTCCATCTCTCCCTTTACAAAAACGCTATGCACATATAGGGCCCTAAGATTTGGAATTCACTGCCAGAGAACACTAAAGACCCCTGTCTGCAAAACAGTTCAAGACACTTCTCAGAGATCACCTACTCACCCAAAACTAAACAGCTTTCATTCTGCTTTCAAATTCACCTCCATTACCATAAACTGTGCTAAGGATCACAGTGTCACTCACCTAAATCTCAAATCTTCAAAAATAGATGCTCAAAGTTCATTACATTACTCAATACTACATTGTAAAAAATCAATACCTGCACAAATTGTTCTGGCTTATACTCACTTGTAACAATCTCATTGTAAACTACTTTCAACTTGTCCCATTGTGATTTTCCCATATTATGATTTGAGTCAATTTACTGTTTGCTATATATAAAAACAGATGTACAACTTTAACAAACAATAATCTATTTGTCTAGTATTAAGTAGTTTGTAACCCATTAAATTTAGTCTTCCCGAAATGCCTGGGCATGACAGTGGCTGTCTTTGTACTGCAAATCATTATTGTAATTACACACTGTAAACTACCTATCTACAACATGTCAATCACATTGTAAACTAGAAAGAAATAAAAATTTGAATTGGAGTGAGAGAGAGAGAGAGAGAGAGAGAGAGAGAGAGAGAGAGAGAGAGAGAGAGAGAGAGAGAGAGAGAGAGAGAGAGAGAGAAACAGGAAATACCTCCAGGCATACCAGTACCCATAGCCAGAGAGGTTGAATATTATAACATTAGAAAAAATCCCACAAGCGCTGATATTGTAATTGTAGCCTAAACGAAACGGGGCAATTATCAAAAATTCCGTCAGACTCCGCTATGATATAAGTAATTTTACATAATTATATTGCCAGTGATAGGTAAGTCACTGGCAGTTATGGAGTACCATTCACGAGAAAGCGAATCCATTTGAAGGGACGAGGAAACGGGACCATTTAAAGGGGAGACTTCTATTTCCTTTGTATAACTTATTGAAGTCTCCCCTTCAAATGGTCCCGTTTCCTCGTCCCTTCCCCTCAAGGAAGGTTCCTTGATGTTGGTGAGGGGCTTTTGATTTAGGGAATTAGATCTGTGCTCCAGTTCCCCGAATTAAGCCTGAATGCCTTCCACATCCCCCCCCCCGGTGCTGTATAATCCTCCGGGTTTAGCGCTTCCCCCTTGATTATAATAATAATAATCCTCGTCCCTTTAAATGGACCCGCTTTCTCTTTGACGGTACTCTATAACTGCCAGTGACTTCCATGTCACTGGTAATATAATTATGTATGTAAAATTACTTATAACGGAGTCTGACGGAATTTTTGATAATTGCCAGGTTACTTTCGTTTAGGCTGCTATTACAATATCAGCGCTTGTGGGTATTTTTCTAATGCTATAATGTTCAACCATTCTGGCAGCGAGAGAGATACATGATAATATACACTTGGAGGGTCCCGGAGGGATTGGTACCAAACCTGTACACGAAAATCACTTCCTGTGAAAGAAAGACTCGGCAGGAGATTCAACATTACCCCGATGAAAAGCAGGGGCTCCAAGAGTACACTGAGAGACAATACAATAAGTGTCCGGGGCCCAAGACTGTTCAATTGCCTCCCAGCATACATAAGGGGGATTACGAATAGATTCCTGGCTGTTTTCAAGAAGGCACTGAACAGGCACTTAAAGTCAGTACCTGACCAACCGGGCTGTGGTTCGTACGTCAGCTTGCGTGCGCCCAGCAGTAACAGCCTGGTTAATCAGACCCTGATCCACCATGAGGCCTGGTCTCAGACCAGGCCGCGGGGACGTTGACCCCCGAAACCCCCTTCAGGTAAACTCCAGGTAATGGGTAGTGGTATGCCTGGGGGCATTTCGTGTTCCCTTCTCTCTCTCTCTCTCCTCTCTTTCCTCTCTCTCTCTCTCTCTCTCTCTCTTCCTCTCTCTCTCTCTCTCTCTCTCTCTCTCTCTCTCCTCTCTCTCTCTCCCTCCTTCCCTCACTCCAGTAAATACATCCACTGGGATCGTATTAGCTCGGACATCCTGATATGTGTTGATTGCAGCACGAAAGGCCTAGAACTATCATTCAACTTCCCCCGTGTGTGTGTGTGTCTGTATTATATATATATATATATATATATATATATATATATATATATATATATATATATATATATATATATATTATATTTATAATTATCTATATACATAATTAATATATTAAGGTATAACAGCTAACGTATGCATAATGGTTAATTGGTTATATAGTTCTAACTATATAATATTATCATTATTATTAAGCCCGAAAGAAATTCAACCTAACCACAACGTTAGGTAAGGATCTTGTTACTGTTCTACACAAATCCATCATTATTATTAATAAATACCACGTTGATTGTGAGCAAGATTGTTACTTCACTCGAACCATAAAGTTATCTATCCTGAGTTTGCAGGTTTGGAAGACCTAATATACTTGGGACTATCAGTGAACAACGTATACAATAATACAAAGAGCTTAATATAAATTGTTCCACTTTTAACATTCAAAGAACAGTTATCTCATTATAACGTTGTTCCACAGTATCCTCACTGCCGATATGTTTATCGTATATTGACAAAAATATTTTAATGAGTGAACCGCTGTTTTATATTCGTGACTATGATCAACAAATCTTGAATAATTAAGTAGCATGCAGCTTTAATGATCTTCGTGTAGTTTGTAGGCTTAAGACACATTAACCAACAAGTCAGTATTCCTCACAAAGTTATGAGTCGAAAAAATCCCAACAATGTCACAGATACCAGAGAAGGCAACATAACCAACACAAATTGACCGCATTTTAGAGTCAACAGAGACGTCATAGTTGTATACAATGAACAAAGCATCAAGAAGCTCTGTGTATGGTAAAATAAATGCGGTAAATACTACAGATTCTTTAAATTATAACTTAACACTGGCATCTTTCTCCCTCATGATTCTGCTTCATTCATTTTCACAACGTGGTAAAAGTATAAGAATTTCTATTGTTATATACATATACAAAAAATCAGCGTCATAAAAACTCTTATAAAAATTAACATACACAGGGAGATACAACACTGTTGATCTCCCACATATTGAATCACGAATATTTTATTGTCCGTTCAAGCTGAGCGCACAATAAACATCTGAACATTACTATTAAGAAAATAGGTACACAGGTATCAAATATTCAGATGGTTCACCATCACACTCTCCTAAGTTCACCTGGATGCCAGGGTTCTGATGCCAGGTTACTCACTAGACTCATTTCATTTCCTCATCTGAATAAACAGATCGTGTAAACATTCCTCAACGAAGTAAAGCCTCAAAGGAAATTCCAGAGAGAACTGCACCGACTGGAAAAAAAGACTAGAATTTCACTTTTTTCTTTTTTATCACAGAAATATGAGAACTTGTGGCCAATATACTGAGACAACCTGAGGACGTCACTGTATAGGGGGATATGAGCGAGGCTGAAGAGTGAGAACGGGTGATACAAAATTACAGTAGCCTAGGACTTCTGGACCAACACGATGGAAGAAATGCTTCTTTCTTCTTTGTCCTGGAAAAAAAGCGAGGCATAATCAGAGCACAAAACTCGATATGTACATTTGGCGAGAGATTCGTTATATAATAAGTAAAATCAATGGCTGTAAAACTTACCAGAAGGAAAACAATGCTGGTTGAACAGAGACAGAAATCACACATTTTCAAGATTTTTGGCCAAAGTTTGAGATCAGAGTCATCCAGTGATGATCATTCTCCGTAGCTTCTTGCTAGAATTGGTGGATATGTTGCGGTGTAATTACCAGATGTTCACAGAGGGTCGGTGAAGTGGCAGAGTCCAGCTCGCCAAACAGCAAAGTGAGAGCAAAGAACTGAGGCAGAGCGCTCATCTTGTTGGGTCTCCTAAAGAGTAAGACGCCTCTAAAGCTGGACGAAGCCATGCTGACGCAGGCGCCGCAGTTGACGCAGCCGACTGCGGAACGGAAGAGCAATTCGTCACTTGAAGAGGCTGGTAAGTAATCTGTAAGCTTTCGACAAAAGAATCGATGCCATCGTCCCACTCAGGCTGAGATCCATCGTGTCCAACTCTTGCCGATGGTGTTGGCGGTGTGGCCAAGTCTCGATGGTTACAGAGCTCTACTGGGTCACAGTCAGTTGTCGTCCAGATGTCAATGTCAGAGCTCAGACTATTGAGATCAAAGGAGAGATCAGGTGACAGTGGCACTAAATCCATCATTCCTATATTGTCTAAATCAGCGAGAGTTGGTGGGTCGTCAGGAAGATCATTAATATCTTGATTTATTACAGCTGAGGAGCTCAAGAAATAATTAGGCCATCCAAATTCTCCTTCGGGTTCACCAACTTGGGGACATAACTGGTTAGTGGAATTTTCAGACTTGGCATTCCACTTAATAACATGAGATGAACGCTCTTCAAATGTTCTGGCACTCTCTGGAGAATCTGGAAAGTCGTGTGAAGGGGTAGTAGGCTGGTGAGTGTTGTGGAGTTTCACAAGGGGTTCATCTTCCAGCGGTGCTGTGGGGGACCCGAGAGGAGCACCCATCTTTGCCATTTTCTTGAGGTTAGAGACAAAAAGGCATTCTCGCATTTTGCTGACGGTTGCAGAATGGGCTGGAAGAGGGTGAGAAGTCTCTTGGGCTCTTAACTTACAGACGCGACCACCACCTCCGCCAGCCACGCCCCTCAGCGTATCGCCACCCTTAGCCACAGAGAGCAGAGGAGGCTGGCAGGTCCGTGCGTTCTTCTTCCTCGGACGGTACTTATAGTCTGGATATTCCAAGCGGTGAAGAATCTTGAGCCGTTGAGCTTCTTCTCGGAAAGGCCTCCGTTGTTCTTCAGCCAGCAGCTTCCAGCAGCGCCCCAGCTGCTTGGAGATCTCAGCATTATGCATGTCCGGCGTCTGCGAGACGATCTGCCGTCGCTTCAGCTGTGACCACACCATGAAGGCATTCATAGGACGCTTCACATGGTTGGGCGGATGTTTCTTTGTCTGGAAATAACAGAGCATCATTGGTATGATGAACATATTTACACGACACAATATTTCTTACACCCAAACGAATAAACGAAATATTAAAATTAAGTCCTGAGACGCAACACAGAAAGAAGGTCTGGCCGTTATTAAGACCATACCAGCATGGCAGCAAGGCACTATATGTGCAGACCACAGTTCTGCTTAAAGCGATGCACTCTATAAATTACCTTTCCGAAAAATGCATTAAAAAGAAATAGTACTGAGTTTGGCATAAGTTGCAGTGGAATAAATATCACCATTGAAGACTTGACGTCAATGAGAAAAGGCATTCATAAGTTATTGCATGGAAACTGATATTCCAATTATTTTTCAATAAAAAATGGCCAGTTAGTCAAAACATTTCGGAACGTCCATGAAGATGCAGCAGCGTTAAGTTTGGAAGTCGTCGCAAGAGATATTCTCTGGTTATTGCACAGAGACCAATTTGTCTGTTTTTTATTTTCTTAATGTACTGGCCGCCCCCACCGAGGCAAGGTGACGTAAAAGGAAAGCCGGAAAGTTTTTCTTTTTTACATTTAGTAATTTATACAGAAGGGGTTACTAGCCTCTTTCGACACGAAAATTAAAATATACACTGCTCGAAAAAAAAAAAATTCAAATCTTTTTTGAGGAAAAGCCACTCCAAACTGAAAATTTGGTCAGAAGAAGCATTCTCCAGTGTTAGCACAGAAACTAACATTTCCAATTGTATTAACTATGTTAGTAAATTGTCAAATTTGCATTTACACAGCAGCCTAAATCCAATGGGTATCATGATTTTTCATGAGCCACTCAAGATTGAAGTTGCAGTTCAGAAGAGGCTTAAGTTGTTACAAGGAAAAAACATACCATGGGCATTTGTTTTCCAAATGTCGTCAGTGGCATAATTTATATCTTTTTAATGCCAGCAGCATGATTTATGTAATCCAGGAGGTCAGTAAGATGATGTATGCCTTCCAGATATCAGTGGCATTATACTTTTAAAAAGGCAGTGACATGATTTATGCCTTACAAACATCAGTGGCATGATTTGTTTTCCAAAAGCCATCGGCATGACATGTCTTTTAAATGTCAGCGGCATAATTAATATATTCTAGTATGGCAGAAAGGATTAGCTGGGATTATTTTAGAATACCCTTACTCCTTTTAGCACTTACCTCAGAAAGAAGGCCAAGGAAGTATTATTTTACCTCCGTGTTCTTTCTGGTGGTTCTTCTGACCTCATTCGTCTTTGTGAAGACTCTTAAAGACTTTTTCCTTGAAAGGTTAGTATTATTTTGAAACCTCTGGTGTAGCTGTTACCTCTCTTTCCTATGCTTGTTCTTACTTTTATGTGAAGTATTTGAAACTCTTCTACTTTGTGGTGTTGGCGAGTCTCCTTCCTTCTGACTTTAATAAGTATGTCATGTCCTCGCTCTTTGGACACTTCGCTGTATGATCCTTATAGGTTTAGCGTTTCTTTTTTATTATAGTAATAAATTGGATACATGACTCTGGTCACTTTTTAACCCTTTCTTGATGTCCTTAGCATTAATTTTTCACGTATCAGGTTAAAATGAGAATGGTAAACACAAATTTTCGTCCCATGCATTATCTGTCAAGGAAGTACTTCTTCCTCTCTTCCTCCGCACTCGTAATGGTCTTTAAAATTTAACTTTAAATGGTCTTTCAAATTTAACATTGTCTTGTAAATTGATCTTTACAATTCCATGTAACGTAAAATTGGGGGCTTTAACCGTCACAGGTTTGAAACTTTGTAAATGTTTTCCCCCAAGCACAGTTTTTTTAATTGTATTATGATTTTTTAATCATATGTGCTTGAAAGGGCTTACAAGTACATTTTAAAAAACCTTGAAATGGTTTTCAAGTCCATGTAACCTTTAATGGTTTTAAATTAAACAGGGTTAACTTGTAAATGGTCTATTTAAACAATCCGTGTTTAAACTTGAAGGGTTCGAACCCCCACTTTTTGTATTTTTTTAAATGTTTTTACTTTTTCACATGAAAACCTTGTAAAGGCTTTATAAAAACGTTCTTTAATGGCTTTTTAATCCAAAATAACGAAATTTTTAAAAATCCCCGAATTTAAATTTTTTAAAATCACATTAATTAAAATGTCTTTGCAAGTACTTAATTGTTATAGTTTCTTTCAAAAGGTAACTTGGCTGTTCTTTGAATAAAAAGGTAAGAAAGGTAAAAATTTACCCAAAAAGGGTAATTGTAAAATTGGCTTTACAAGTCACAGTGTAACTTGTAATTGGTCTTTCAAGTCACAGTGTAACTTGTAAAGGGTTTTTTTAAAGTCACAGTGTAACTTGTAAATGGTTCTTTACAAGTCCAGTGAAAACTTGTAAATGGTCTTTACAAGTCACAGTGTAACTTGTAAATGGTCTTTACAAGTCACAGTTTTAACTTGTAAAGGGTTTTTTCAAGTCACAGTGTAACTTGTAAAGGGTCTTTACAAGTCACAGTGTAATTGTAATGGTCTTTACAAGTCACAGTGTAACTTGTAATGATCTTTACAAGTCACAGTGTAACTTGTAAATGGTTTTACAAGTCAGTGTAACTTGTAAATGTATTTACAAGTCACAGTGAAAACTTGTAAATGGTCTTTACAAGTCACAGTGTAATTGTAAATGGTTTTTTTAAAAAGTCACAGTGTAACTTGTAATGGTTTTTTACAAGTCACATTTGTAACTTGTAAATGGTCTTTACAAGTCACAGTGTAACTTGTAAATGGTCTTTACAAGTCACAGTGTAACTTGTAAATGGTCTTTACAAGTCACAGTGTAACTTGTAAATGGTTTTTTACAAGTCACGGGTTGAATTTGTAAATGGTCTTTACAAGTCACCAGTGTAACTTGTAAATTCTTTACAAGTTACAGTGTAACTTGTAATTGGTCTTTACAAGTCACAGTTTTAACTTGTAAATGGTCTTAAAAAGTCACAGTGTAACTTGTAAATGGTCTTTACAAGTCACAGTGTAACTTGTAAATTCTTTACAATTTACAGTGTAACTTGAAAATTGGTCTTTACAAGTCACAGTGTAACTTGTAATTTTCTTTACAAGTCACGTGTAACTTGTAAATGGTCTTTACAAGTCACAGTGTAACTTGTAAATGGTCTTTACAAGTCACAGTGTAACTTGTAAATGGTCTTTACAAGTCACAGTGTAACTTGTAAATGGTCTTTACAAGTCACAGTGAAAACTTGTAAATTCTTTACAATTTACAGTGTAACTTTTTAAATGGTCTTTACAAGTCACAGGTAATTTGTAAATGGTCTTTACAAGTCACAGTGTAACTTGTAAATAATCTTTACAAGTTACAGTGTAACTTGTAAATGGTCCAAGTCGGACCGAAACGTCATCATAAAGTTTTGTCTCCTATGTGTAGGTTATTTGTGTATTCTAGTCGCCGGATGACGCTATGTCACTTTCCTGTCATATTAGAGACAATGTACATAGTGTGTAAACTGACCTGGTCCTTTTGTAACAGTTATCTAATCCCTCTTGTAGCTATCAGTGGCGCTGTTTTGTTGAATCCTCTCTTAAACACGACATTCTTAACGTGAATCTTTAGTTGCTGTTTCAAGTTAATTCTTACCATTCACAGAACATTATCCAAGATTCTAATCATCAGAATATACGTCACTTAACTTGACCTGGGATTTTTCCGTACCTGACCTGTCTCTTGTTTTTTCTCCCACTTTCTCTCTTAATTTTAACTTGATAATGATTCAGACTGGGCGAAACATCGTGCAAAGTTACCTCTCTATATTGTGGGTTAATTGTTACAGCCAAAGTAATATGACTCGAATTCTTTATTTGTGAGATGGTTAAGTGAGACGGGGTTAAGAAAAATGCTGATACTTGTATTTTTCGTACGCGGTAAAAAAAAAATTCACAAGAAAGCTTATGGAGAAGAAAAAGAAGTTTAAAGAAGTGAAGAAGTATAAAATAAGAGCAACTATAAGAATTAGTGAGCAATTATCAGGAGATTTTGTTAAGAATAAAGATGTTTGATAAAAATAAAAATAACAGAATAACTAGGAAGTAAACAGACTTTGTCATTCAATAGTGATGAATTGCTAGTTAAGTAGAGATGTTAATGACCAGATGGAGAGAGAGAGGAAGAGGAAGTGGATGGTTGGTCACGGGGTTAATTCAAGTTTTTGGTCTGAACGAGGATTATTAAGCCAACTTGTTAACTGTTAACCACCAGCCAAGAATCTTTTAATCCATAAAAATAAGGATTAAAGTATTCCCTCGGTATATACGGTGTATATATAGAGGATTGTTGCATTAATTATCTATTAAAAATAAATTGCTTGCACTGAATCGCCTCCGTGATCAAAATAATACATGAAGCATTGTTACCTTTCATTCAGGAGAGTGAGAGGGAGGTACTTTGTTGCTTGTGAAGGATTCTTTGTTGCTTGGGAAGGATTCTTTGGTACTTGTGAAGGATTCGTTGTTTCTTGGGAGGATTTTTTGGTACTTGTGAAGGGGGTTTTTTGGTCTTGGGAAGGAAATTTTTTGGTACTTGTGAAGGAGTCTTTGTTGCTTGGGAAGGATTCTTTGGTACTTGTGAAGGAGTCTTTGTTGCTTGGGAAGGATTCTTTGGTACTTGTGAAGGAGTCTTTGGTACTTGTGAAGGATTTTTTGGTACTTTTTGAAGATTCTTTGGTACTTGTGAAGGAGTCTTTGTTGCTTGGAAAGGGTTCTTTGGTACTTGTGAAGGAGTCTTTGTACTTGTGAGGGGTCTTTGTTCTTGTGGGAGTTCTTTGGTACTTGGAAGGAGTTTTTTTGGTTCTTTGGTGAAGGAGTCTTTGGTACTTGTGAAGGATTCTTTGGTACTTGTGAAGGAGTCTTTGGTCTTGTGAAGGATTCTTTGGTTTTCTTGGGCTGGAAGTCTTTGGTTCTTGTAGGAGGGCTTTGTACTTTGGAGGAGTCTTTGGTTCTTGTGGAGGATTCT